GATCAGAAAACTGATTTAGGTTCAAATTCTAGTTTCAAAACCTATTCAATATAGATAATATACATTAAACTCTAAGCTTTGTTATGCTTTGTTTTCTATCTTAATTGGACTTAATACATTGGCATTTTTAATGAAATGAAATAGCATATAAAGGAAATGTTATGGAAAGTATAAATAGGTCTAGATAATTGTTAAATTTAAATGTGTATCTCCATAATATTGCATAAGTTATCACAACTCTTCTCCAATTAAAAAAGACACCCTCATCATTTGGAAAATGTGTTGATATGGATTACCCACCCTACTGATAAAAGATGAAGTACTACTCTTTTGTTTTTCACTTTTTAAAATTTGAGTGGTATTTGCAATTATATATCCAAGACCCTCTGGTACTTATTTGTGCTTTGTGTTTGACAAAGTGTGTCTTCAAGGCAGACCTTATGAAATTATTCTGAGGGTACTTGATATATATGTACCGGGCAGGCTGGTCTTCCCAACTCCTCCTCCTTTACACTCCATGTCTCGTGCACATAGCCCCACGATTCATTTCCCCCTCTATCTACTCCTACTGGCCCTTCCCAGAAGAATTTTCACCATTCACCTGCTCCTTCCTACCTGGTTGTGATGCTTTTTCATTCCACATCCTTCTTCCTCAAAAATGTTGCCCACATTGATCTTTCCTGGTTTTCAGCAACAATTGCACTTATTCATGGTGTCATATTGTTCAATATTTAGTTCTGTTGCTTAGTATTATGTTCTATATCACATGCCTAGATCCTTTCGAGAAGAGAAAGTCCCTGAGAACAGAGACTGGATTTTGCTTTTTCCTTTACTGTGCCACAAAGCCGCCATCACCTTGCAAAGATAAGCAGATGCTTGGTAGAACTCTAAATAAGATGTCATTTTTCTTAACACCGCAATTTCTGATCTTTGAAGCTTTTATAGGCCCCCCTCTCAGTAAAGGAATTGAACCATTTTCATTCAATAGATAGATCCGTGAAGAAGAAACAAGGAGTATTTCATGATCCCAGATCTGCACTCAAAGAGTTAGTCAGGCTGTGGAAAGCAGAGTTTCAAGGCTTCAAACTGAGTATTAAGCTGCAACGCTGAAAGTGTTGTCATAGTCTACCTTCAGGATAAAACAGTTTGTGGTTTGCAACTGATGTAAATCTTTCCTAAACCAGTTCCCAGATCCTTGGAACTCACTCCATTCGTAGCACCATATGTACTCTACACAGCTGGTCAGGGTTTTGCAAAAACAAAAAAGCAGAAATTATTGCCTTCCACTCCTCAGTGTGACAGTAGAAGGCATAGTAGGGACAAAGACCATGCAAGCTCAGGGACCTTAATGTAGTCTGGGAATCTAAAAAGGGCTTTATAATAGTCTGGATGAACTTTGGACAAAATTGAGAAAATAGTGCCTTTCAGTAGTTTTGAGCATCATTTCCTTGTCTTTACTTTTCCTCACATTCTTCCTAAGTTCTGGCTATTACTGGCTTGTCCAACAGCTCGACACCTCCAAAGAGCTCCAAAGAGCTAGCATTCTTCCTTCCTGCTGCAAGACAATGCAATTGCTTATGTTCTATCCTTTGTGGAGCACACTAAGATCCCGAATCTGATATAAAAAGAATTCAAGAAAAACAACAATGGTTTGGACGCCAAAAGTGAGATTTCAAATCAGAAGTGCCGGACATGTCCTCATAGCCCTAACTAGCTATGTGACCTTAAGCAAGTCACTGAATCTTTAAAGCCTTCGATGACTCATAGGTAAGTAGGGTCATAAAGGAACCTAGCTGGTGGCTGTGGTGAAGATGAAATAAAATTATGTGTGCTCATACCCGGTATGCAGCCTTGCAATACTAAATGCATCATCAGTATCAAAATGAATATTATTCTCAGAGAAAATACTCAACTTTAAACAGAGCCCTTCAATAATTTTGCTTAAAGATGTCACTAATCATGAAGGACATCAGGCACTAAAAGTCATTTCTTTTTCTTGGTATAAGGGGACTCAGGATTCACCAAAATAGATTCAGAAAGCAGCTACCCACTCTACCACACAAGCATGACAAGAAATAGCTCTCATCATCAATACTTTCCCCCCACCTTTTTAAAAAAATCAACATACAATGCATTATTTGTTTCAGGGGTACAGGTCTGTGATCCATCAGTCTTACACAGTTCACAGCATTCACCATAGCACATACCCTCCCCAATGTCCATCATCCAGCCTCACTATCCTTCCCATCCCCCTCCTCCCAGCAACCCTCATTTTGTTTCCTGAGATGAAGAGTCTCTTACGGTTTGTCTCCTTCTTGGTTTCATCTTGTTTCATTTTTCCCTTTCTTCCCTATGATCCTCTGTTTTGCTTCTCAAATTCCTCATATCAGCATCAGCACTTTCCTTTCAGTCACTTTCCATGAGGAGGATGAAGAGCCACCAAATAAAAACCCTTCTTCCTCTGCCTCCTAGCACTGAACGTAAACACCAGCATGATTTCCTTCAGAAGCTTCCAGAGCTTAACAGTTACTCTAGGACTCTTCACACAACTCCTTTGAGCTGGAAATGATGCAGGTGTCAGCATCTTCTTGTTTTACATGAAAACAAAAACAAAAACCAAAACCCTAAAACGGAGACCTAACCCTTGAAGACTAACATAAAAAACAAACAAACAAACAAAAAAAACCACGTGATCAGGGTTTTAGTCTTAAATTTGTCACTAACAACATTATTTTATTAAAATCAATTTCTATCCAGTTATTTATTTCTCAAATATCCTCATCCATCAACCACTTGCTTAAAACTACACAGGGCAGTTATAGGATTAAAATAAAGTATGAACGAAAGCATTTTGAAAAGGAACAACCACTCTACAATTATAGAAACAATTATTCCCATCACAAACACCACAGCCAGAAGCCAAATTTGCATATCAACACTTCATTATTGGAGATGTTGGTACATGAGCAATTTTAAAAAGATTGTAATTTGAGTTTTCATGGGTTTTGCACTTTCTGTGACTATCTTGTTTATTGCTTTTATCTGAAAGGAAAAGTCTGTCAAATTTGCTAAATTGCTCAGCTTACTCTCATTTTTTGTATTTGTTTTAGTGATGTATATGATGCTGGAGAGTCTCATCACTGCTAATCTGCAATTACCGAGGCTAAGACAGGGGTCCCATTGAAAAACCTTTGAGCCTAGGGAAGGAGAAGCAGCACCAGGATAGCGAGGGAAAAGCAAATGCCAGCCAGTGGGGAGCAATCATTCTGGAGACAACATGATACACTTTTGCCTGAAGAAGGTTCCCTCAAGTTCTCAAATCCCTTAACTTACAAGAGCCACTTGTAGCTCTCGACTGGCCTTCAATTAAAGGTTTATGTTCTTGAGGAATTCTGAGAAGGGCAGTAAAGGTGGTCATGTAATCACTGATGGTATACTTCCATCTAAGGGGGCTCCCTCATGTAACTTCCCAGAAGTCCTTAAAAAAAAAAAAAAAAAAGTAGACTATTCCCACTCTTCAGAGGAGTATCTGAAAGTTTCACCACTAGACCTATATTCTCTTCCCGTTTTTGTCAAATATTGCAAAATAGATTCGTATTTAACTGGTGAGATAAACTTGAATTCCTATCTCATAGCCAGGTAACCATTTCATACTAAACATAGCTTTGGAGAAAGAGAAACAACAAAGGAAGGGAGGAGAACAAGTACAGGTGACTCAAATATTATAGCTGCTAAAAAATAGTCAGCTGCCACTTTAACATGCCTAGATTTTCAAGTAAAATGTAGAAAAAAATGCCATTACAAAAATGTCCTGCACTAAAAACAGAAATATGTTTCAGTAGTAAGCATAGATTTATAAGCATTGACTCTATATGTTATTTTCACTTCAAGAAAATGTAAGATGCATTAGATAGAAAAATCCAAATATATGAAACACTTAAAATAGGAGAAAACTGTTTTAGTGAAGATTCTTACCTTAGCAAAAGGATTTATTAGCAGGCTACTTTAAGTCTAAAAATCATTAACTGGAAACATACACAACTATTAAAATCCAGCTCAAATTTAAGGTCAATGCAAATAAAGATAAAGCATCTAAAATTAGAACTCAACCATTCAATTTAGAGAATTTGATTTATAAAAATTTGATTTGCATGCAATATCTTAGTACTTTAATGTTGTACAAAGTAAGTCGTGGCAATAGAATTGTGAGATGGTTCCTGAACTAGGTTTTGGTCATTTAATCTCTTTAGGAGTACTACGGAGCACAAAAAGGACTAAGGACAAATATTACCCTGTAAAGATGAAGCCAACACAGCTTGCCCATCAGGCCCTGATAGTGTTTGATCAGAGAAGAATATTATATAGTAAACTACATGAAATCTGGTAATGGATCATAACCCGTGGTTTCTGCATTATCAGAAATTAGCCATGCTTTCTGCATTTTAAATTTTGTTTGTTTGGAAAAATGAACTGAGGACCACAATGATACAGCAGAGGCAGCTTGAAGCAGATTGATGGCATATGGAAGGCACTTCTTACTCAACCTGACAAGTGAGGCTTGTTCTGGTTCTGCAGGGTGGGAAGGGTCCTGTGAACTCTAATGGGTAGTGGTCTTTACATGGTAGCTGGATTCCAAGAACAAGCATTTTAAGTGGTAAATGCAGAATCTGCAGAACTCTTATGGCTCAAACTCTGAATGTATACAGCTTCATCTCTACTAAACTCTACTGCCTGAAACCAATCATAGGACCATCCCAGACCCAAGGAGATGGGAGAAACAGATTATGCTCCTGTTGGAGTGGTAAAGACACTGTAAAGTACCATGTGAGTTGGGGTACATTGTGGCAGCTGACACGATCTACCATAATTTCAAAGATTTCTCAGAAAAATCACATGTATCATTTCTTTGTCATAATTCTCAATATGAACCTTGGTAAAGCCATGCTTTACCAAGTACTATGTACCCTTGGAGTTAAGAACAAACAAGATTTGGCACTTACCTGGCGGAACTGTTCTAGGTCAATTTTGTTACCCACCAGCACCAGGGGAATTTCATAGGTGTGGCGGACTTGAAAAATGAGCTCTTTAAACTTGGCAGCTTCCTGGAATGATTGGCGGTCAGTGACAGAGTAGCAGATGATGAATCCCTCCCCACCTCGCATGTACTGCTCCCGCATGGCTGTGAACTCTGCCTGCAGGAAAAAAAGCAAAATTGTTATGTAATTTAAAACCATGAAGCCAGGATGTCATTAAAATAAAAGGTCAAAAGTAGATAAATTATGAGACGAGGTAGGTGGGTAGAAATTTTGTAAAAGTTTATTTCTGGGCTTTGGATATAGAAAAATAGTATGAAGTCTAACTGTACCGTTATGAAATCTGAATGCTTTGAAGTATTCAGAGTGTTGATCTTTAATCATAGAAAATTTGATTCAAGAGATCTTGGGGGAGATATGTTAAACAGCAGGTTAACTAACGAACTATTAGGGATTATATACATCTTTTAATAGCTTTCTACTTAATGGTCTCGTTTTAGGAAAGGGAATCTAAATTTGTATACTTTAAACTTTAAAACCTAGAGGAACTAATTTTCTCCTCAAAAAGATGAAAAGAAACACGAGTTTAACCTTGATTACCCTGTGAACGGATGAAGTTATCAGTATAGATAATCCCCGACCCAGTTATGTGCTTGGGTTTTCTTAGATCTGTCTCTCTGAGGGGCATAAACAGAGGGAGCTTGATGGCTGAGTCATGGGGCATTTTCCATGTTCTGTTCACTCTTACATCTTCTTCTCTCTTTGCAGAGGACAGGATCACCTTCTGAAGGTACCAGTGTCCCAACCTGGGAGGCACTGCTGTATCAGCTTTTCATGTGGCAATCCACCTGAACTACAATTTCTTGGCAACTCAATATTTAGAATTGGGTCTGAGTTGCAATCTGAAACATTCCTCTTAGTCAGAAGTGTCTGTCTTCATTCACTGTTACTCTTCTGATTCCATTGTTAAAATCACAAGGGCTAGTTAGACACAAGCAAAGGAAATATAAAACTTAGGCTCTGGCTGTGGAACAAGCCATGCTAAATGATAAAAGAACACAAGAACATAGTGTGATTTGGAAATAAAGTCATCAAAGAAAGATTCACATGAGTTTGAGCTGTATTTGAAGATTTCGAGATACGAATTCTTTTCCCAGCAAGCTATTTATAAGAATTACTAAAATGCCTTCTTCAGAGTAATTGTTGAAACAAATATTAAGTTGATTTAACATGGCTTGACTTTTGAGGGGTAGGAGCATTTATACAGATCCAGAAATTGTGGAAATCTGGGGTGCTTACAAATGTAGAGAGAGTAGTAAAGTTAATAGGGTATGGAGTTAGTGGGTCAATCTTTTAAAACATTTCCAGTCAACACAGAATGGGTGCAAATAATATCACTGGGTTCAACCAGTCATTTTAAAGTTTTACAAACTTGAGTCCAGAAAGGAAAAAAGAGAGGGAGAGAGAGAGAGAGAGAGACTTGTCCAAGTATGAAGAGGCAGCTAATGTCAAATTGGTTTGAATAATTTATCTTCTCTGATTCACACTATCTCAATTTACTTAGTACTAAAGTTTACCTCAATCCTAAATTTCACCATGTAAGTGCCATGAGCTAACATGGGAAAAAGAAATCCTACTGTGTCTCAGTTTCTTCATCTCTAAAACCAAGTTGGCTTATAAAATTTCTGACATCCCTCCAAGTTTTGGCATTCTCTAATTCTAAAAACCCTTTGCCTCAGTCAGAATCCCATAGCTGATTGTGGACTGACTAGAGTAGTATGGATTGAATTTGCTAAATGTGGTTTCCCTGAGTTATAATGTCATTTTCCAAATAGAAATGGTAGAATCACTGTAGAAATATGTGATATTTTAAAAAATATGAATGGATTTATTACAACAGCATATATGATCAAAACCATAAAAGCACAAACTGAACAGGGAAAAATGTATCTTATGATTTATAGTTCACTGTATTTGCCAATTATGATTCAGAAATAATCTATGTACACATAAGCAAAGGCATCTACATTCCACCTTTACATACTTTTTATACTCAAATGGGCACATAATGTACGTAATTTTTACTTTTAACTTTAATTAAGATTTAATATCCTTAATATACCTTGGAGATCATTCTATATAAGCACAAATAAGTATTTTTAATGCATGTACTATATTTTATGTAACTAGTTGCCTATGAAGATATTTAGAAGTCTTCCTTTTATTCCTATTATCAAGTATGTTGCAATACAGATTCCTAAACATCCACGTTACACAGATGTATATCTGAGAAGTAATATTGCTAGATGAGAGAGAACACACATTTTTACTTTGGAGAAATAGTGCCAATCTCACCAAAGATACCGTACCAATAACACTTTCCAGCATTATATAAAAGTACCTATTTCTCCTCATACTCACCCATGTCACTTATCAAATTTTTCTACCTTTTATAATATTTAGGGTACAAAGTAGAGTCTTGTTTCATCTGCATTTATATGAGATTCATATTGAGCATCTCCTATGTTTCTTATTCATTTACAAATTCTCTCGTAGTTATGGGTTATTTTAAAAATGCAATTTTTATTCTTTGATTTGGGGCTTTAAAAAAATTCTGACTGGAGACATTTCTTTCTATGTGAGACATAAGAAAAAATTCATTTGTGTACATTAAAAATAACTACATCATAGGGAAAAGACTAATAAATTTGATGAAGTCCAACACGTATTAGGAAGACGGGCTAAGTAGAGGAAAGTAAAATCCATAGAGAACAATACTGGATGAATGAATGAGTGAATATCCAATTGTTCTGATTAATTAGACTTCAAGTCCCCTATAATTGTATTAATAGATCTACCAGTCCTCTCATCTGCTCTGAATTGAACTCTCCAGGTATGAGGTTCTAGCTTAGGTCTAGGTGAATATTTTAAAGAGTTACTTGTCTGATTTTGCTTTGCACCTAGGTACAGGAGTAATAACTGTGTTTGTGCTCAAAAGTTGTCTTTACAATCTGAGCACAGAAACTGGGAAGCACAGTACATGACTTCTAGGTCTGTTACTCAGAATATACCCTCTAACAAATCACCTAACCCCTCAGTGCCTCAATATCCTTCTTTGCCAAAAGGGATTAGGACGCACACTTAACCCATCTTACAGGGCAGTAGAAAGGATCAAATGAAAGAACAGATGTAAAAATGCTTTGATCATTTTTTAAAATACAATACAAATTAAGCCTATTATCATCTCTGGTACAAATCCTACAGAATAGAACCTTTCACTGGGAGTATAAGCATAAAATCCTCTTCGAGCTGCATTAAATATAAATGTAGAAGTATTTTTCAAATATGCTTAATCAGAAAATTAAGGTATAGGTTGTGTTTTTTTTTTCCCCCTCCAAATAGAAAACTGTTTCCACCAATAAAACAGACATAATTAAGCTATCCCAGTGAAAGGGGAGGATACTTCCTCTTAGCTCACCTCACCCCTTCTAACTCTTGTCATAGCATATATAGCTTTTTCTTAAAGATGCGCTGGAAGCTGGTGTGGCACAGAAAGTTGAGCAGAATCTCTGCAGCTATTATCAACTTAATAATATATGACACTGAAATCACTTTATAAGAAAAATGCTATGTTCAATATGTTGCTTCCGTCTTTATTCACCCATGAATTAAAGATCTCTGTGCTTTATGTTCCATGTATCCTGAATGTTAATATCTTCTTCATTTGCTTCTTGCTATAAATGAAACTTGTTGGTTAATTATTCAGGAACATGACTAGATTCCATTTGCTATCCATAAGTAGCAAAGTATCTATGAAAGAGACCTATGTGTAAAATGCTACAAACATGACCATTTCTAATACATATATTTTTAGAGAGAGAGAGAGGGAGGGAGTGGGGGGCCAGGCGGCAAGAGAGAGGAAAAGAGAGAGATCCAAGATGGCACCATGCCCAACAGAGCCTCGATCTTACAACCCTGAGATCATGACCTGGGCTGAAATCAAGAGTTGGATGCTTAACCAACTAAGCCACCCAGATGCCCCTTTCTCTAAGAATTTCTAAGCTATTCTGAGTACAATGCTGTAGCTTCATCAGTTCCCTTAGATAGGTTTTCTTGCATTAAAATAGGGTGAGAATACTCCTAATTGTGAACACAAAGTATTCTGATTAATCTCATATCCCAGTCTCTTGATTATCAGAGTATTTTAAGCAGACTTTCAGAAATATAGGGACGGGACCTGCTCCCCATTGTATTCAACGAGTGCCACTAGGATGTATAAGTGCCACATTGTTTACAAAATGGGCTAGTGTTATGGTCAGGCCAACCCTCAAATGCTTTCCAGCACAAACACACACATATACCACTGTCTATGGTTGCCATACTCATGACAGCCACATCTCCATACCAAACTTATGTTCCTAGTACACAAAAAGTAAATTAAAAAAAATATAAGTCACTCATGCAGCTGACACTATGCCAAGTGATCAGATACATAAACTACCAAAAAAGTCTGGCCCTGTCCCGCTTGACCAAGCAGAAGTGGGCAGAAGGAAACAAATGAAGAGTAATGGAGTGCTACACGAACCGTGGGGATTTAGAAAATGCCAAGAGCATTTTGCAGGAGGAAGGCAAAGAGGACTTGGTGGAAGAAATGGGATGTGTTATTTTTCTTAAATTTGTCACCTGTAAAGGGGTCCTCAACTTTCATGCAATCTTTCTTCCAAAGATATGTATTACCCTTAAACCACCTTTCATGACCCAAAGTCAGCATTTGTATGGCACTTAAATATAGAGCCCTGCATTCCCATCCATAATTTAGTTTTTGGAGGCTGTCAGAGGAACTAAACGGTTGTCGTTGCTTTTGTTTGCATGTTTGTCTAACAAAGGAATTAAGCAAAATGAAAATATTAAAGTGATGAAAATGTAGGTATCATAATTTTGCTGTAATTGATGCAAAGTAGTGGTGGTTCTCCAGTCTCAAACTGAAGCCTTAAAGTAGTTGAGAATGTCCAAATAAAATGGAAACAAAGAACTTTTACAAATGTTGGTAATAAATGGTCAAAGATGGTATCTAAAAGACCAAATATAATTAACGAATTTATACTATTTTGTAGTTTGCAGAGAACATAACCATGTCCATTATACATTTGTCTATCATT